CTTTCTCCCCTCTCTTTCTCGCTCGTTCTTTCCTTCTCTCCCACCCCTTCTCTTTATCGCTCTCTCTCCCTCTCTCCTCTCCCACCCTTTCTCTGTGTCTCTCTTTCCGGCCCCCCTCTTCTCTCTTCTTTCTCTCTCTTCTCTCTTCTCTCTTCTTTCTCTCTCTTCTCTCCTCTCTTCTTTCTCTCTCTTCTCTCTTCTCTCTTCTTTCCTCTGTCTCTCTCTCTCTCTCTCTTTCTTTCTCTTTCTCTCTCTCTTGCGCGCTTTCTCTCTCCTCTCTCTCTGTCTCTCTGTTCTCTCTCTCTCTCTCTCTTTCTCTCTGTCTCTCTCTCTCTCTCTCTATATATGTATATATATATATATATACATACATGTATAACATGGCTTCTTTCTCTCTCCATCGCTGCAGGTAAGCGCTCGGGCGCGCGCAGCATCACCTGTAAACCGGACGGAGGCATCGAGATCACGGACGATCCCGCAACCGCCGCGCCGCACTCCGACGACGACGACTGGGAGATGCCGTCGACAAACAGCGGAGCATCCCTCGACGGACGCCTCTCGCCGCCCGGCGAGGCGGCGGCGGCGGTGGCGCCCCCTCGCGACGCGGACGCGATGAGCGATCGCACGGACAGTAGCTGGACGAAGGTCCTCGAGGATTTGGAGACCTGCGGCAATTCGCGGATCCTGCGCGAGCTCGAAGAGTCCATCATGAAGGGCAGCGAGGTTCGCATCGACGTGCACCCGCCGCCGCCGCCGCCACCCGACGCCGCCGCCGCCTCCGGTCGCCACGGCAACAACCTCGCGTCGACGCCATCGCCGCCGCCCGTTACCGCGGCAACGCTCGACAGCGTGCTCGCCGACCTCAACGCGACGCGCTGGTCAGACTCCGAGAGCAGCCGCAGCAACACGCTGGAGCGCGTGCGCCCCCTGGCGACGGGCTCTCCCTCCCCGCAGCGCCACCTAGCGGGCCGGAACTCCCCCTCCCCGCAGCGCCGCCTGGCGGGCGCCGAGTCGCCGCTCGAGCGGCCCGGATTCCGCAAGATCAACGACGCGATCCACACGATGCTGTCGCCGGCGCCCGTCGAGCTCCACAAGGTGGCGCTCTACAAGGACGCCGCGTACGACGACTTCGGGTTCAGCGTGTCCGACGGGCTGCACGCGCGCGGCGTCTACGTGGCTCGCACCCGCGCCGGCGGTCCCGCCGCCGCCTCCGGCTCATCCAGCCGTACGACCGCCTGCTCCAGATCAACGCGACGCGGACTCGGGACGTCGACTGCTGTCTCGCCGTGCCGCTGATCGCCGCGTCGGGCGATCGCATCGAACTCGTGATCAGCCGAAACCCGCTGATGTCGCGACGGGACCTCGCCGATCCCGGAGGGGGAGCCGGTCCCTGGGACGGGGAGGAGGAGGAGGGGGAGGCGGAGGAGGAGGAGGAGGAGGAGGAGGAGGCGACGCCGATGCAGAGTAACACGTCGACGCTGTCGTCGTCCGCCGGGCAGAAGCTGAAGACGCTGTGAGAGGAGGGCGGCCGTGCGAGAGAGGAGCCAGAGGAGGAGGAGGAGGAGGAGGGAGAGGCAGAGGAGGAGGAGGAGGAGGAGGGAGAGGCAGAGGAGGAGGAGGAGGAGGGACCAGAGCGGTCAGGAGGCCAGGAGCAAGGAGCGAAGGGCCGAGGGAGGAGGCGGGAGGAGGAGAAGGAGAAGGAGGAGGCATCGCGAACAAGACTGGCAGCCACTAGCGCCCTCGCTCTCATCGGCGCGCTCGCATGGCTCAACGCAACTCACCGCAAGCGCGGGCGCCATAGTCATCGCTAGAGGGCGCCACAGTCACAACTGGAGGGCGCCACTGTCGTCACAACTAGAGGGCGTTGCGGTCAGTACTAGATGGTCCAGGCACGGCGAGCGCATTCACTAGTAGAACAGTTACCGCTGGAGGGTGTTGTGGTCCGATCTACGGGGGCATCGCGATCACCAAGATAGATGGCGTTGCAGTCGCCACCACGCAATCGACAATATTATTATACAATATTATATACAATTATCAATGCACTTCTATAAGGTTCGAAAACATTACGATGACGTCATCATCATCTGCTTCGACAAGCATGATAGCGAAAACGAGAAGTTGGAATGATGAGCGTCAGAATCGTCGAACATATTGCGTGTGTCGTCTGATGCTGCTGCTGCTGCCGGTGCTGCTGTGATGCGGGATGCGGATGGATGCGTCAGAATGGCTTCTTCGCGCCTGAGCAACGAGGGATGAGGAAGATGCTGCGATGCGGGGTGGATGCGTGAGAATGGCTTCTTTTGCGCCTGAGCATCGAGGGATAAGATGAGAAGGATGAGAATGGCTTTGCTCCCATGGCGAGGGATGAGGAAGATGCTGCAGGTTGTCTGTCGCACGGCCGGATGCTGCGAGACATTGCCGAGAGTATGGCTTCACTCCCAGGGATGCTGGGAGGATGGCGAGCCCTGGACTCTAACATATGTCAGCGTAGCAGTAACTTAAGTTCGAGTGTAAACTTCGTAGGGTTGATTTTATGACGTCACACACGCGCATCTGTAACCTATTATAGCTGTATACTAAGCTGTACTGCTACTACTGCTACTTTTTCGGTTGTCTTCATATATATATATATATATATATATATATATA